CTCTTTCTTTCCCATATACAGTTGGTTCCTTTTCAATAGCTTTAAAGAATGATGATTGACCGTACATCAGGATTACATTATATCTGTAAATTGCTTTGGATAGTATTGACATTATAACAGTATTAAGTTTTCCTGTCCATAAGCATGCCATATTCCATTTTTGTAAATCTCTTAGTTTTTTTGAAGTAATACTTTGTAGTCTTTAGGTCTGTTGTATCCTTGGTGAGATTTAGCCCTAAATATTTTATATTTGTGTGACTATTGTAAATGGTGCTGTTTTCCTGATGTCCTTTTCAGGCTTTTCATGTAATGAATCTGCCTGGTCTTTGTATGTTGCCTTCTACCCTGCCACCTTGATCTTTTTAAGTTAATTCCAGTAACTTTCTCAGTACGTTTTTAGGATTTTCTCTGTATAGATCTTATCTGCAAATAGAGGTATTTTTACTTCTTTGCCAATATGGATGTTTTTTATTTCACTTTATTGCCTTTACTCCTCTGGCTAATGCTTGCAGTATTATACAGGAGTTAAAGAATAGGAGTAGTTCCCATTGGGAGTAGAGTATTTTCAGTGTCTATCCATTGAGATTAATGGTGGCGGTTGGTTTTGTATACATGCCCTTAATTATGTTAAACGGTTCTCCTATTTTTGTTAACCATTCTTATTAGGACTGCTTGTTAGAATTTGTCAAATGTCTTTTCTGCTTCATCTGAATAATCATATTGTTATTCTCCTTTGTTTTAATTCTATGGTGTATTACCGTATATACTCGTGTATAAGCCAGGTTTTTCAGCACATTTTTTATGCAGTTTTTGTGGTAAAATTAGGTGCCTCGGCTGATATTCGGGTTGGCTTATACTCGAATATATACGGTACATTGCTTTTCTTACTGTTTAACAATCCTTGTTTTTTTGTCAGAAAGCTGCATGCAATTATGCTCATGACTCACTCCTGTTTCAAAATGTTTACAAGATTATGTTTATGTATTTCGGTCATTGAAATATTTTTCATGTGTGGCATACGTACTTTTTCTTTCTTTCTTTCTATAGAATTGGGTTGTGAGTAAATTTGGAAGAATCTTACCGGTCCTTCATCTTAAGAATCAACGTAAACGAAAAATATCCTTTTTGACTAATGCTTCAGAGTTAATTATTGTTTAGCATAGTAAAGAATAGTTTCCAAAGTTTATTTCATACCTTTAAAATATCTCTGCTTGTGTCAGCAAACCTGTAGGTATTTATATACTGGTTTCTGTTTTTCTAAGTTTTAGATGAGATTTACCTAATTAGATAATTGGATCTAATAAAGAAGTTCTTTATGATCAGTGCCAAATTAACTATTTAATTTATTGACATATACATACTTCACCCCTGTTCTGATGTATTCAAAACCACTGTAAATGAGCTAATATGGGATGAGGGATATTATAAAAGAGTGTCTATAACTAAGGAAGGCTATATGAAAGCTTTAAGACTTGAGTTGGAGCTTAAGTGAATTTAAGTATATTTTGAATTAATAAAAAATAAATAGGATGAAGGCTAAGAAAGAAGAAAAGAATAGATGAAAATATGTACAGGCAACAGAATGTGGTTGATGCCTGTTACCTTGAGCAAATGAGGACAGACCATCTGTCATGGACTTGTGTGCAAACGACATTATCTGTTTGTATTCTTTGGTTAGAAATAAACCTGAGAAACAAGAAGCTGATAGCCCTGCTGCCTAATGATTAATAACTGCAGCAAGCCACCACACCTGAAGCTCCAAAATTCCCAAACTGCCATCAAGTCGATTCTGATTTATAGTGATCCTATAGGACAGAATATAACTGCCCCTGTGGGTTTCAGAGAGTGTGCCTATTACTAAGTAGACAGCCTCATTTTTCTCATAAGAAGCACCTGGTAGTTTAAAACTGCTGATCTTACAGTTCGCAGTCCAACTTGAAATGAGAAGCTGACCATTTTGATCCCCTCAGGCTGCTACTCGAATCAAGGCCCAAGCAGCACCAGTTACTGCTTTTGCCCATTGCCATTAATACTGCGTTTAGGCCAATACTGACCTCTTTCTTCCTTGTCATCTCTGGCATCCCACCACTAAGAGCATAACAGTGTGAAGCTGAGAGACAATAAACACTACAGGGAGGCTTCAAAAGTTCATGGAAAGATGGAGTTAAAAGATAATGGAATTTTTCCAAAAGCTTTTTGTAGCCTTCATTGGCGTGCATTAAGAAGCCCTGGTAAAACAAAGAGCAGCAGCAGCCCTGGTAGTCAATTGCTCTACTAACTCAAAAGGTTGGCAGTTCAGATACACCCAGTGACTCTATGGTAGAAAGGCCTTACTGTCTGCTTCCTTAAAGATTATCTTTTCCTCACTGCCATTGAGTCATTCCTACTCACAGTGACCCTATAGGATAGAGTATATAGCTGCTCCTGTGAGTTTCCAAGACTAAATCTTTACAGGAAGATTTCTCATCTGGAACAATTGGTGGTTTTAAACCACTGACCTTACAGTTAGCAGCCCAAAGATTTAGCATTGAAAAATCCTGTTGGGCAGCTCTGTGTTACATGGATGGATATGAATTTGAAATCTATTCAAGAACACTTAACAACAAAAAATAGTTATTAAATGAACAAAGATGCTTTTCAAGTGTTACAAAAATGAGTTTATACTTTTCCATTCATGTTTTAGAAAATAAACTTTGTTGTCACTGCATATTGATATTAACTGGTGTCTTTTTGAGCGTCAATAGCAATGCAGACCAAGTTTATAATAGAAACCTACAAAATGTATTGCAGCGATTGAGTAGAATGTGAAACGGACTTCATTGAGCTACAAAGATCAGGAGAATTGGGATGAGTTCGTGTTGAGACTCCAGGAAAGGCCACCGGTAATAGAGAAGAAAGGACAAGCCAAGCATTGTATAGCTTTGCCGTCCTGAGTTCCCGCTATATATTGTTTCTCATTAACAGTTCAAGGATGACTTTCTCTCATTTACCAAAAACATTATTGGGGCCTATGTACGTAGCATGTGATCTGAATATGTTTGTGATAATATGTATATAAGTAATTTCCGCCCTCTTGCAATGGAGGGGCTTGGTTTTTACTCTGAAGATGTGGAAATTTATCTAGGAAGAAAGCCCAATTCCAAAGACCCTAAAAGAGCACCGAGTGCAGTCTTCATTTTATTTGAATAAAACATGAGGGTAGACAAGGAAAATGCCGAGCTCAAACAGTATGTCTTCTGTTTCACCAGATTTCCTAAAACTTGATACTATTGGGTTTTTTTCCTTCACTCTCCATAACATCATAAAATATGACCCATCAAACTTCTGCCATAACCTGAAGAAGATAGGGGAGAATTCTGTAAGCACAATCCCTATAACAAACCTTACTTGGCAATTGGAAGAAAGGAATGATCCTATGAGTAAGAAACGACGAGGAGACTTCACTGACTTTCACAGCCCCCCCAAGAAGTTAATTAAAGAACAGCATGGTAAGGGTGCCATTGGGCCTTTGGCTGTTTGCCCAAGTCATAGTTAGTTAGTGGACAGTTCACATTTATGCTACAACAGGCTGTATAAAACACACCTCATTCCCATCAATCTGACTGAATCACCCAATTAATATATTACTAATTCTAATCAGAAACATAAAGATGTACCTTTTTAGACTGGTGGCTTGGAAAATGCCAGTGACAAAAATAGCATGTCTGATGATGATATTGATTATGAAGATGAATTAAGTACAATGATGAGAAGAGAAGAAAACTTACAGAGAAGTTAATGGTTCTCAGTAAAAATAACTTTGTAGTTGTAAGAGGGGGTTTCAAATCAAATGTTCACAAACTTTTAATTTTAACCAGTTTATATGCCAAAAATAATGTCTCTGGCCAGGTTAATAATGATAATGTTACAGAAAATGATTGTGACTATGATTAAGGATTTATGGGTAAAATCATAGCAATGAAAATAAATAGTAAGGTAAGAAGTAGTATAGAGTTTTTAAATATACAAAACATGGAAGCTCAAAGACAAAAGGCAGTGAATTTTCTGGTGATTCTATTAAAATACAAAAGGGAAGGATAGAGTGAGTTGTCAGTAATTGGGATAAAACTACATTCTAAATGCCATCTAGTTCAAGTCGCAATAATGATTCTAATTCTATTTCAGACACAGAGTCATCTGCGTCTGAAGGCGATGAAGCATACAATGATATAATGCAAAACTGTCTTCATGTCGACCTCACTTTGGCTGATCTGGAACAGATGTGTCGCAGTGACCCGGAGCCTCCACGTGAAAGCACTGAGAGTGATCGCCAGGAAACCACCAGCGACCGGTTTGTCAGGGACTCCAAGAGTCTCAAGACTTCTAACACTCTCTGTAGAGGCAAACCGTGCACGCACGCTGAGAAGATAGTGATGTCTCTGTTAGAGGAGAAAAAGAATAGCTGTAGTGAACAGAAACCAAAAGAAAACAAATTCCAGGCTTTCAAGGGAATAGGTTCTCTCTATGGAAAGGAATCAATGAAAAAATTATTGAAAGAAAGTATTGTCTCTAACTATTTTAATAAAGACCAGCATTTCTTGAAACTTGAGGATCCCAGTAGCATTTCCATGGAAAAGGGATCCTTGTATGCTGATAGCTCACTAAGAGAACTGACTTCATACCAACATGCAAAGAAGGCAAGTAGCCTAAACCATACTGAGCTTCAAAACAGGCAAACCTCTTTTGAGAGCCAGGATCACAAAGTGGTGACTCCGAGCAAAGAAAAGGTAACTTCTAGTCTGTTACCATTAAAAGGTAAAAAGTCCTTAAATCTTGGTGTAAAGGTCTACAAAACAGACTTTGATAAAGATGGTCACCTGGATACCCCAGAGATAGAAGTTGATTTAGAGGAGAGAAGTGATTCACACAGGTTTACATCTGAAAAATCACCAAACATCTCTTCATGGGAAGACAGGCTCAGCTGTGTGCTCAGTAAAAAGGCACAAAAATGCAAAGGTGATCTTCCACATTCTTTGAGTAATTCAGATGTTGCTGAGAATAGGCATGCTCAAGATAATCAGAAGCGGTTGGAAGCCTTGGATGCAAGACAAAAAGCAAAAGAAATACAAAAGAAGCTCGTTCATAATGCCCTGGCAAATTTGGTGAGTACATTTCAAAGACTTTATTTAATAAGAACGCTTAAGAAGTCATGTTTTTCTTTCAGGTGAAGGCATCTCTCTTTAGAATTGATCATCTTAGCTTTCAGAGTTTCGTGTTTTGCACCCTTGAGTTGTGAGGTTTTGTTCCTATATACATGGTATATACTAACCTTTAATATAACCCACCCAAAAGTGAGACTAAACATTATTTACTAAGAACATTTTAAGTGGTTTTTAATCTAAAACTTTCTTCTTGCTCTTCTTTCATTCAGAAGCTATAGCTGGGATAAGTAAGTGATATAATATGTCAGAATCTACAGTGGCATAGGAAGTTAGGTGTTTGGCTGCTAACCATTAAGGTGAGCAGTTTGAACCCACCAGCCTCGCCTCATGAAAAAGGTTTGCTTTGGTTTTATCCATATGTCTGAATTTTCATGTAAATTGCTTATAGAAACCTTGCCAGGTTTTACTACGAGCAAAACCAAACCCACTGCCATTAGTCAATTCTGATTCATAGTAACCCTGTAGGGCAAAGTATAGGGTTTCCAGGCCTATTTTTAATGGAAGCAGATTGCTGCAACTTTTTCCCTGGTAGGTTCAAACCACTGATATTTTTATTGTCAACCCAGTGTTTTACCACTACCCACAAGAATTCTAGATTTCCTATCTTTCACTCCCATAATGTCTGTGCCAACTCATAGCTACCCTATAAGACAGGTTAGAACTGCCCCTGTGGGTTTCTGAGACTAACTCTTTATAGCAATAAAAGTCCCACATTTCTCCCATAGAGCAGTTGGTGGTTTCAAATTGACCTTATAGTTAGCCCAATGAGTGCATAACCACTGCACCACCTGGAATCCACTAGAGTATTTACTATAGTGAGTTGTTATTTCTTCTCTCAGACCTTTAGAGCACATGCTAGATTCACACAAGGAGTACCATGTGGCTTGTTTGATTAAGATGTGATGGCAGACATCACAAATCATTTTCTAGGACAAAGAATGGTGTACTTCGGGACCATCAAGCTGTAGAAGGGACATCAAGTTACCGTGGGACACTTCTCTGTGGAGGAGATGCCTGATCAGAGTCAGCATGAAAGGATAAGTAGGAACTGGTCAGGCAGAAGGAAAAGTGGCAGAGACAGGAAAGGCATTCCAGGTTAAAAGAGCAATTAAAGAGTGTAAAGTATCAATAAATTGTACGAGAGGAAAAAGTAGTGGTGACAAGTCATGAAAAGCCCCAGAAAGTTGAACTTTATTCTTAGAAGTTGTGAAAAGGCTTATAAGCAAGAGAATCAAGAGTAAAAACAAGTCATACCACCAAGCTAATTATGACTCCTAATGACACTATAGGACAGAGCAATACTGTCCTATAGGATTCCCAAGGCTGTAGAGTGTTACAAAGTACGCTGCCACATCTTTATCCCATGGAGAAGTTGGTGAGTTCAAACTTCCAGTCTTTGTATGGTGTCAAATACCTTAAAACACTATACTACCAACGTGCCTGAATCAAGAGTGGTTATGTATATTTTAGGGAATGGGAATCAGCAAACTACAGCTTATAGACCACCCTGCCAACTGCATGTTTTTAGGCCTGCAAACTAAGAATGGCTTTACATTTTTAAAGGATTGTAGAGAAAAACAAAAATAAGAATGAGATCGTGTGTAACCTGCAAAGCCAAAATATTTACTTTGTGCTCCTTAACAGAAAATGTAGGGTAGCCTCTGTTAGATTTCTTAAGTAGATGACAGTGTAAGTTTTGGATTGGGCTGTCTGAAGATATCCTACTTTTGATAACCTCCCTAGGATGATGATTCAGAGATCAAGCCAATGCATACTTACTTCAGCTCTGACAGTGAAAGTGAAACAAAAGAGAAATCCATTCAGAAACAAAGGTTTACAGGAGAGGAACTTGTGAAGGTAAGACGTTAGACTATCCCTTTGAGCAGTTATTTATTTTTGTCTATTGCATACTCTAGACCTCTACACAACTACACATAATCTTCCTGGAAGCTACAGTGAGATTGACTACACTCCAGGCACGGGTACAGGTGTCTTTGTTTTCTGCATGATCCTGTACTTTCCACATCAGCTGCTAAATTAATTAACCCTTAATCAAGGCTACACTGGAGACCTTGTGGATAACTTATCTCAAAGGCTAACTCAATATCAGGAAGTTGAGTTTATATTCAAACATAGCATCTATCTATTCGTGGTTGATCCATGAACATTTATGTTAAGTATGAGGAGACATAAAATTATACAAGTCAATGTTGATTACTCAGTTATTAATAAAAGTTTCTTTTGTTTTCTTCATCAATATGAAAGGAATCCATTTATAAAACATCTGAGAAGCTGTTTGGTAGCAGTGATGATGAGGAATCTGATTCAGAAGACGACAGTAACAGGTTTAATATCAAACCTCAGTTTGAGGGCAGAGCTGGACAGAAGGTTAGTGAACACTGGAAATAATAAAACTTCATACACCTTCCTATTATTCTACATATTCTGGAACTGAAGCAGCAGATAGACCTTAATACATACCAATGTTGAAATAAAAGTCCTCCATGATCCGTTTTGATTGACTTGTGGTTAGGTCACTTCATGGAAATAAAGTAATGCAATTGATTTTAAACCATGAAGAGAAATACTGTGAGGGATCTGGCTCTCACTTGTCTGCGTATTTTATTTGTAGCTCATGGGTTTGCAGTCTCACTTTGGAACTGATGACAGATTTCGAATGGACTCTCGGTTTCTAGAAAGTGACAGTGAAGAGGAACAGAAAGGTAAATAGCACATTATCCAAACATTCGGAATGTCAGACCTGGTGGAATACTTCTAAAGCATGTAGTCTACCTTCCTATTTTAAAAAGAGGAAGAAATTCTACATCCCAAGACATTGAATTGAGGAGCTTTATTTCTTTACACCTATAAAGTTGTATAAAATCATTTAGTACTTGCCAGAAGATCAGAAGTAAATCATCAGAGGTTTCGTTGTTCTCAGTCTCATCCCTGGCATAAGACAAGAGTGAGTACATCAACAAATGAGCATGTTCTGAGTGCGGTCCCTAAAAACCAGTAAGCCACTCTTGCTCTTTCAAAAGAGGAGTGCCATCCCTCCTTAGGTTGGCATGCTGGGTACAGGTTTTTTTAAAAGCCGTACAATATCAGTCTCATCCTACTGAAATTCATTCTTATTTGAATTTATTTAATAGTAATGATATGCTAACAAAAGGATCTTAAAAATCCACTTTTTGATTTCCTATAGCATGTTTCACAGCAGTGGTTCCAAATTTTCTCTTTAGACCTTGAACTCTTAGTATTTTCAAAAGAATTTAACTGGCCAAGAAGATAACCAAGCTCTCTCAAGTTCTTTGTCTTGAGTTAACCCACACCTGTAACTTAATCCTTATTGTACTTTGTTTGCTTCCTTTCTCATTCCTTTTACATATTACATATTCCGTTATTATTTCTAAGCTTATTGAAAATGGAAAATATTTTGCATAAAGAAATAGGAGGCAAAAGACATACATACAAGCCTAAATACAGACATGTACATATGTAAATATATTTAAGATTAAGGGGGGAA